GATGGCCTACCTTAAAGGGATGTTGCATGAGTTACCAAGAATTCTATGGATATTCAAAAAGTTCTGTATAAAAGAAATATTATGGTTACCTTCCAGAAATAATATTATCTTCCAGAAAAAAAAATCCTACTAGAAACAAATAAGGACATATTAGCAGTAACAAAAACCAGAGAGAAGTTTCAATAATCATCTAATATGTGCTGAGACAATAGATCAAACACTGTCATTGATTCAGCATTATCTTATTTCAATGGTTGTGGCTCCTTACCTGAACAATTTATAGCGATCCATAAGTGTTTCTCTAATGATGTGAAGTGATAGGATGGACTGCTATTGGATCAGCGTTACATATCTCCAAATCATCAAACACTTAATTTATACCAACAGGTTTGAGGAATTCCTCAGTCAGAAATATAGATCTTTGCCTCGAAACAAGAAACTTTATGTACTGTCCTAACCCAACGTAATAAAAATAAATCAGCAGTGCTTTTTCCATTGGTTGCTGGCATATGCTGTGAAGTACTCATTTCTCTGATAACTACTGAGCTCCAAATTAAAAATACAATGGGCTCAAATCAAAGGAAAACACTCTGATAAGTGTTCTCTTTCACTCTCACACCCGGAGCATTAGGTACTAATGAAAACTTCCATGTCATCAAGGTTTTTCCAGCAGCTTGAGAAAGCAAGAAAGAAATTGGCTGTGTTTCTGAACAAGAAACTGCAGTTGCAGTACAAAGTAGATCCCTCTCTGACATAAATGGAGCTTTTCCCCCTGACTTCAAAGAAATGGTGCCAGCTTGCATAATTTGAGCATCCAGCATATTTCTTTCGGCTGCCTTACGGATGGCACCTCAGCTTGGATAAGAAATCAATTCACCTATGAAGACTGATCCTTCTTTGACTGCAGTGTAAACAGCAAATAGGCTCAATAACTGAGCACCCATGAATGTCAATAGAGTCCCCATCACAAAATTTTAACAAGGTTACATTTTCAGACAAAACCCTCAAGACAAGATCTCAAATAATATGAACTCTGAAAAATCTGCCATATGCTGTTTCTTTCCTTTCTGGAATATATCCCATCTCTTCACTAATTATAAATTCCATATGCCTCTCCTCCAGTGACTTGATCCCTACTCCCAAATTACTTATCCTGCTTTCTCCATCCAACAAAATAGCAGGAGATATTCTATCACTTTGCCATGGCTTCCCCCAAAGAATCTTGGAATTTCTAATGCCATGAATTGCTGAGGATTCTATTCAAAAACCTATCACAAGATTACAGTGAATCATACTGAAGATATGATCAAGATTATAACTGCGAGGTGCCTCTACTTTGGTCATGGTTAAGGGGTTAGAATATTGATGCATAAAGGGTTTGTACAACAGAGTCCTTTTCCAGAGCTAAAAAATGAAACCATTACCATGATGATAAGAAAGAGGAAGCGACTATACTGTGTAATAATCCAGGGGAATGCATGTATTTGTGCCTCTTAAACATACAAGGAGTAGGGGGAAGAATTAAAATTACATGGTGCCTGGAAGACTCTATTAAGAAGTTTGACAATCTTTCACATTCAAGAGTAGGATTAAATCACAGCTATGTTGTATAATCCCATGAGTGACTACCTGAAAGTCTAAGTCCACTATGTCCAATACACTTAGTTTAGTAAGTGTGAGTAGGAGCGTAGCTTTAATAATTTGAAGAAGTTGGATGTTAAAACAAATGTAATGTGATGGTAAAAAGTGAGAATGGAGGACTAGAATTTCACAGATTATATCTGTCCACAGTTATTCATTGAGATCTGCAATGGAAAATGTAATCAAGGTCAGGGTTCCTCAACCTCAGTAACTTTAAGTTGGGTGGACTTCAACTCCCAGAATTCCCCAGCCAGCCATGCTGGGGAGTTGAAGTCCACCCATCTTAATGTTGCTAAGGTTGAGGAACCCTGATCAAGGTCACTTGTTAGATGCCCATTTCTAATGCAATCAGCTTAGCTTTCCACAGTCTTGTTATGGTTAAGTAGTACATGTAAACAAGAAAAGATCATACACAATTTCAGCCACACCCCCATCTATTTGTGGGGCTATATACAATAAAAGAGTTGAAATACAGATGGCATCTGGGACCTCTGAACTGTAAAGCACTTTGTTTCATTAAATACAGGGCTGAGTGTTGCAGCATTTTATATACAGTGGTACCTCGGGTTACGAACGCCTCTGTTAACAAACTTTTCGGGTTACGACC